CATTCGAATCCAAAGATTAAACACAAGGAAATCTATATTTATAAAACAACATTCATCAAAGTTCATAAGTATTCTCATACTTAAAAACCCAAAATAAAATCAGTGTTTAGCACAAAACATAATAAAAAAGAAGCAGTGAAGTCCCTAACTACGTTTAACTCGCCCTCGATGACACTCCTTACTCGCATGTTGTAGTGTTTACAGCTCGCACAGTCAACAAGTCTTTCGTTCACACCCAACACCCAAGAGTAGGTTAAGCCTCTGTGGCCATATAAAAAAGCTTGAAAAGTGGAGAAAGGAAAAGGTGGAAAAGATCCTCAAATGATGATAAAAATCTCTCTTTTATAGCTCCTCTCCCAGTGTCCCCTCATGCTTCAGGTGATTTAGCAGTACAAAATAGTTAGCATAAAAGCCAACTCATTGTCCTTTAAATTCTTTTAGAAAATTGTGATAGTTGTTTAATGCGGTGACAATTCTGGACTCAATATTTTGTACCAACATCTCTGGATTCAAACATAAGAAGCTTTTGCAGCGACATCAGACAATGTTATGAAAATCATTTAAAGTGTATAAGTTCACTGAGCTAAATATAATCTACCATGAAATGCAATGATATGAGAATGCAACGATAATTTTATTAAATTGTAATGCAACGAAATGTAATGTGCTGACAATAATGCTCAAATGTATAAAATGGGAACAAAACATTCATTAGTTGGGGTAAGTCACACGCTTTTTCAAGTGCTAAAACACTCCCACACTTCAGCTTTTACTTGTCCTCAAGTAAAATAGAAAATGCAGTCACAAAAATTCATTAAGGCTAACATTTCACGATTTGTGTTGATACATTCTAGCTACCTGAATCAAGCAAGTTCCTAATAATAAGTCACATTCAAAAGACAAAAAAGTGCATCGACAATTCTCATAAATGAATATCTCAGGTTGCATTTCATATGACCTAACAACATGCCAAATTCTAAGTTCTCATCACCATTCACAGATTACTATGCTAATATAAACAAAATTCTAAGTTCTCATCACCACTCACAGATTACTAAGGCTAACATTTCCGAGATTTGTGTTGATACATTCTAGCTACCTGAATCAAGCAAGTTTCCTAATGAATAAGTCATTCAAAAGACAAAAAAGTGCATCGACAATTCTCATAAATGAATATCTCAGGTTGCATTTCATATGACCTAACAACATGCCAAAATTCTAAGTTCTCATCCATTCACAGATTACTATGCTAATATAAACAAAAATTCTAAGTTCTCATCACCACTCACAGATACTATGCTAATATAGTTTTTTTAAGAGAGCAAAGGATATAAATAAATGTACCTTTCATAAGGAACCATCATTGCTTCGACACACACTCGTGCAGAAACATCCTTTGGCGAGATTCTTTTTTCTAACACTTGCAGTGGGGTGTTCCATTTTGTTGTCTCTATTCAACGCACCCACAGTGGAGTTACTTTTATTTATTCATACACCGACATCGGAGTGACTTTGTTGTCTTGAGGGTCTAGCCGTACTCCGGTGAAGTCCGACTATGGAAGGCACCAAGGACGATCGAGTGGGGGAACGGTGAAAAATAAGGTGCCGGAGCCGCTTACTCAAAGCATAGGATAAATCATCTCCTTCTTCTTTTTTTTCCTGGGCAGCTAAAATGAGGTATTTAGTAGGAATTTCTAGGGTTTTGTGTCTTTGGAAATTCCCTAAATACCCTCGTTGACTTACCCATGTTATGAATGGAAAGGCGACTGGAAGTGCTCAATATTCTTAAAGGGCGTGATTGCACGTGAGAATGAAGCTGGGCAAATGACATCATCAATTGTTGAGTCACGTCAGATTTGTAAGATAAATATTGCCTCGACAAGATAAATATAATTCTCAACAAATATAACAATTTTGTAACTTTTACGCAGCAGATAAATGTGACTAGTGAAAGAATGTAATTCCGTCCCTTTCTCATTACCACAGGGGTTTAATATATACACAGTCATTAGCAGATACAATCCTAATAATTAGGCTATAATTTAGGCAACTAAATATACAACAGTAAATACAAAATATTTGGAGAATATTTCGTAGTCTATCACTCCCCCGCAGTAGAAACAGGAGGATCTCAAACGTTAAGACTGGTCCGGAAATCGTCAAACAATATAAGGGGCAACCCCTTAGTGAAAATATCCGCAATCTGGTACCTAGACGGCACATGAAGAACACGAACATCCCTGCGCAACTTTTCTCGAACAAAATGAATATCCATTTCAATGTGCTTCGTACGCTGGTGTTGAATGGGATTTCCCAAAAAGATAGATAGCACTCACATTGTCGCAGTAAACCATTGTTTCTTTATGGATGAGACAATTGAGTTCGAGAAGAAGATTACGAAGCCAACAAGACTCCGAGACAACGTTGGCAACTCCCCTATATTGCCTCGGCACTAGATCGGGAAAGCGTAGGCTGTTGTTTGGACGGCCATGAGATCAAATTGTCACCCAAAAAGACACAATGCCCGGAGGTGGATCGTCGAGTATCGGGACAGCCTCCCCAATCCACATCCGTATAAGAGACAAGATCGGTAATGGAGGAAGGAGAAATATGTAAACCAAGATGAAGAGTACCTTGGATATACCGGATGATACGCTTAAGGCGTTCATATCTTCATCCCGAGGGTCATGCATATGGAGACAAATCTGCTGAATTGCATAGGAAATATTCGGCAGTGTAAAAGTGAGATATTGTAGGGCACCAGCAAGTCTGTGGTACTGCGTTGGATCAGCAAGGCTGGTTACAGGGGATAGGAGATCTCGTAACCGTGATAGTATGGGCCTCGGATGAGTCAAATATAGTTTTTGGGCCATACTAGTGACAGGGCGTTCAAATGGATAGGGGTGACCTGGGCCGAATTGATGAGGAGTTTGGAGGAGATGGGTCTGCTCACAAGTGAGTGAGAGGCTGGAGAAGACATGACTGGCTGGAGCGTAGGAGAAGAAAGTGGAGGCTGTTGTGGTTGGTTTTGATGAAGAAGATACGATGACACGCCATCATTCAAAAAATCATAATCACCGGTACTAGGTTGATGGACTTTGGTAAAAGGGAAGATAGTTTCATCAAATTGTATATGCCAGCAGATTCTGATTTTATTATTGGATAAATCAAAACACTTATAGCCTTGATGATTATCGGGATAACAAAAGAAAACACAGGGAGTGGATCGAACTTGTAATTTGTGAATAGTCGTGGATGGAATAAGAGGATAACACAAGAACCCGAAAACCTGAATGTGAGAATAAGAGGGAACCTGGTGGTATAAAATTTGTAGAGGAGACGCATCGACTAGTAGTGTACTGGGAAGAATATTCAAAAGATGGGTTGGCATAAAAGAGTATGGCAAAGAGGCATGAATAAGTAGTGTGCGCATGATATTATTAATGGATCTTATTTTTCGTTCGGCCTTCCGTTTTATGAGGTGGTATAAGGGCAGGAGAAACGAAAATAAATGTCATAGGACTCACAGAATTGCCGAAAAGAGACATTATCAAACTCCCCCCCCCATTATCACATTGTATGGTTTTGATATCTCATTCAAACTGGGTACGAATATGAGCTTGGAATTGTGTGAAAATGGAGAATACTTGTGATTTATTAGCAATGGGAAAAGTCCACAAGAATTTCGAATAATCGTCCAAAAAAAGTACATAATAACGATGTCCCGAAGAACTCAAAACCGGAGAGGTCCAAAGATCACTATGAATAATATCAAAAGGTATGAAAGTTTGAGAAGTTGAAAGAACAAAAGGTAACCGAATATGTTTTCCAGGTACACAAGATTGACAAGTAGTAGACTTAGATGGACTATTACAAGCAATCATCTTATTTTGCTGAATAATAGAAAAAATGGAGTCGCCCGGGTGACCTAAACGATCATGCCAAAGCGTTGAAGCAAGCAAGGCAGTAGGAGAGGAGGTTGGATGCGGCCTGGTGTGAGTGATTGGTTAGAGAGAGGTAATACTCACATCTCATTAGAGTCTCCCCGTCTGTAAATCATGCACAAAAACCCACAAGGATCAAACACCATTGACAAATTATTATCAGTTGTAAATTTTCGAACATACACTAAATTTTTAATAAGATTCGGAGTGTGCAAGACATGTTTGAGAGATAAAGGTGGGTTTGGGGAAGGTAATAAGGTATGACTCTAACTACGAATTGGAATTGACTGACCACTACCAACATTAACACCATTATCTTTGCTCATATTAACATAAGACGAGAGATTACCTTATGTTGATGTCATATGAGACTTCACCCCGGTATCTATATACCAGTTTGGATCCAGTTGAGAGAGAGACATGGTGTGCATGGCATACTCAATATCCATCGGAGCCCATAGGGACGCTGTAGCATAGGCTTGCTGCTGCTGGGGTCGTGCTCCCAGAATACCAGGCTGCCATGGTCCAACTTGCCTACCCCAAGGTTGTGTCAGATATGGACAAGGAGGCAGGGCCCAAAGTGGTTGCATCCATATCCGCCAAGGAGGCATAGCCCATGGTGGTTGCATCGGACCCTGCTGACCGCCGCCCAAGTTCGGACCACCTCCATGGTTGCCACCATGTCCAGCACCCGGCGTCTGACCTCCACTACTAGTAGGTTTGCAATTTTTATTTTTGTTGCGGTGCTTGTTTTGTTTCCCACGTGCGTGACCTGGAGGAGGATGATTAGAAATCTCATCAGTGTCACGATTAGTCACCATCATCGCATCATCAACCGTCGCCTCCTTCATGTTGGTTTCTTCTAAGGCCAACATCAATCGAACTTCATAAAAAATGTGGTAGTACCTTTTTGTGGTGAATAACATAAGCAACTCCTTTGTAAGCCGATGTGAGACCACCCACCATACGAAGAACTAGACAATTGTTCGAAACCGAAGCACCCACATTCTTGAGTTGGTCGAAAAGTGTTTTGAGGTGCTGCAAATATGCAGAAACCTAGGAGAAATCCTTCAAGTAGGTGTTGTTGAACTCGTGTTCCAAGGAAACGACACGAGAGTTCTCATTACCCTTAAACAAATCGCGAAGACGATTCCATAGAGTCATGGAAGAAACATCGGCTTCAATAATGGTATTCAAGAGATCTGTCGAAATCGTGGAATAAGTCCATTGAACCACAAAAACATCCAACGTATACCACAACTCTTGATCTTCCTGACTAAGGGTGGCCGGCTCTGTGGCCTTCCCGTCCTTAGATTTCGGTGGGATAATATGATGATGAACCTAGTGAGATCGACAATGAACCTTGAATAACTTTACCCAATTTGTATACTGGACGTTCTCCATCTCAAGAGTAATGGGAATATGTGTCTTGATATTAGAAACAACAAGAGCAGGGTGAAAGGATGAGGAAGATGATGTGGGAGCCATGTCAGATGGAAGGAAAGAAGACAGAGAATAAGAGGAAGAAAAAAGTAGGGTTGCGAAACCTATAATAGATCTATCGGCTATGATACCATGAAAAAATGTAATTACGTCCCTTTCTCATTACCACAGAAGTTCAATATATACACAGTCATTAGTAGATTCAATCCTTACAATTACGTTATAATTTAGGCAACTAAATATACAACAGTAATTACAAAATATTTGGAGAATATTCGTAGTCTATCAATGTCTATATGCTTAATGTTCCTCCTTACTATTTTAAATTGATTGTGCATGTATTAGATCTGAGTATGAGAGTAAGTCAGGTTTGTAGGTAGTTCCTATTAAAGATCCAAGGGATCAATTTCTAGTAAACTTATTGGAATTACCTTTTGATGATTTTGAAGTTATTTTGGATATAGATTGGTTATACACCTACCATTCTATTTTTTATTTTCGATTGAAGCGATTGGTTTAGAAAGAACCATAAGGTTTAGAAATTTTTATAGGTAGGTGATAGATTAAATTTTCTATCTAATGTGATCTTAGTAGTAACTATATAGAAGTTGCTACTGTATGGATGTCAAGCTTATTTAGACCATTAAAGGTAAAGTTGAAAAGAATTCAAACTATTTTTGAATTGTCGTATCTACTTCTTGATGAGTTACTAGGGTTGCCACTAGATTAGGAAGTAGAATTCAAGAAATTGATGTTCTACCGGGAACTGCACTTGTATCCATGGCCTCTCATAAAAAGGCTTCCATAGAGCCAAAGAATATATTTATAGTATTCATAGATCCGAGTTTCCTAAAGCCTAATGTTTCACTATTAGAAACTCCGATTTTATTTATAATAAAAAATATGGGTCAATACGATTTTGTATGGATTACTATTAGTTGAATAAGGTACATGTGAAAAATAAATATCATTCACCAAGGATTGATGATATCTTTTTGATCAGTTAAAAGGGGACAATTGTGTTTTCTAAGATTGATCTTCAATCCAAATATCATTAATTTAAGATTAAAGAATAGGTTATTTCAAAAAACGGAACATGATAAATTAATGAAAAATATCTCATTTGGTCACTCAATTATAAATAAAATTTTTATAATAATGTTTCTTTAATATTATTAAATAATTCCAAAAAATATAAAAAAAATCCATATACACGGAGGTTTTTGATTATGCTTGTCAAGCACAAAAGGTTCAACTTTATTTAAAATTCCCCTGTTATTTCATGTTACTTAGATCAGGATATATTTAGGGGTGTTTAAATTTTGGTTAAAATCGATTTAATCGATCCAACTAAAATCGGTCGGTTAATTTTAAGTTCAGTCGGTTAAAGGTTAATGATTTTTTCAAACTTTGGTTATCGGTTAATTTGGTTAGAAATCAGTCGGTTAATCGAATTAATAAAAATTATTAAATATTTAGTATATCATATATATTTTTATGCATTACTTAGCCTTAAGAGTTTTTAAACGTTGGTTTTAACCGAATTTGATCGAATAAATCGAATTAAATGAAAATATAAAATATTTAATATATATTATTTATAAATTTTCGTTGATTCGGTTAACCGACCAATTAGTCGAAATTTATTCGGTCTGATTCATTATTTTTGAAAAAGATTTGATTCAATTAAGGATTAAGGGGGGGAATTCGGTTAATAAATTTTAGAAGTTTTGGTTCGTGAACCAAAAGGGCCTAAGGGAGATAATAATTGGAACAACATAGTTTATTTTCATCATTTCATGTGAAGATTAGAGCTAAAGATTCATTGAATGTTGGAGATAAAACCTATGACCCAGCTAGGATCAAATTACAGAATCTTGGTTGTTCAGTTCTCCATCACTAGAAGTTGGCTACGTTGCACTCGGTTGCTGAACATGGAGAACATTGTTATTCGGCTGAGTCGCGACCGAGTTACGACCATCAAATATGAAATTACTGTTATTACCAGCTGCCATCAACGAAGCTTCTTTGGTCTTTCCTCCATCATTAACAGTTGGCTTACACAACGTTGCACTCGGTTGCTGAACACGGAGAACATTGTTATTCCGCTGATTCGCGACCGAGTTACGACCATCAAATATGACATTACTGTTATTACCAGCTGCCATCAACGGAGCGTCATTGGTCTTTGCTCCATCATTAACAGTTTGCTGAACATCTAAAATATTGTTACTGAAACTTAGATTTAAGTCACTATTTACAGTTTGTGACGTAAAAATTGACGTCACGCTAGTTGTGTCACTAAATATCAAATTTGACGATTTTATGTTTTCGTCACGTATTGTTAAACATATAGTGACATTAATGCACAATGTTACCTTATATATAATTTATATTTAGTAATAATTAATTACGTCATCAAAATAATCTAAAAGTTTATCATTAATTATTTGTATCGTCATTAATAATATAATGATTTTATATATTAATGATGAAAAAAACATCGCAACAATTTCTCTATTAAAATATAAAAATCATAGAATTATAATAAAGGACAAATTGTTTTGGAATTTCCAATAAAGGATAAAGCGTTTTGAAATTTATAATAAAGGACAAAACGTTGTGAATTTACAATTAAGGACAATTTTTTTAAAAATTACAATAAAGTATATATTCTTTAAATTACAATAAAGTATAAAACTTTTTATAAATTAAAATAATGACATTATTTTACAAATTACAATAACTATGATTTTACTAATTACAATGAAGCCCCAAACTTCTCATATAGAAACATGAAGAGAAAAAAATCACTTTATGCGCAACTTGCACTTTATTCTTGTCAGCGATAGCTTCATCCACAAGTTTTTTTGCTGGTACTTATGTTCCACTTCATGAGGCTATACAAAAGGTTTCCTGTAATTTAATGACAGAAAAAGTAGACCAGTAAGAGAAAAATTCAAAATAAAATTCAAAATGTAAACATCGCTCAACATCAGAAGAAGCAATGGAATAAATTCCATGAATATAATTATATCAATTACAAAGAATTATGAGACTTCCTCACAAAGCCATCGTCCAACTGACTATGACTAACATGCTAGTGCTACATGAAAAAGAAACCCAGATTCTCCTATACATTTGACACATTAACCTATATTATACAATATAGTGCACATCACAATATCGTGCCACACCAGAAACACAACCCCACACTCTACAGTGGCTAAATGGTTGGAGCCTCTCGACGTTTGAGTTAAAGGACAACTTAAGTCGAGATAAAAAAAAATATTTTAATCCTTATTTGATAATATCCTTAATATCTTCTTAGATAGCCCTCTTCTCAAGTATCACAGTGAGGTGGAACACAAAAAGCCATTCCACAACTTACCATTCAATACTGACAAACTTTGCGAAAGGCCTATATGATAACTATCATAATCTACCATCAAACTTCAATTCTGGTAACAACTTAACAATGCATAATAAAGCATTTGAAAATATAAAAATTAATATAATGTATGCCATATCAGCTCCATCGCTGCTAGAAATGATATTGAAGCTCTACCAATTCTCATTCCTTTGTTGAACAATCCTTCGTATTAGCTGAATATAAATAATAGAAATATAAATCAATAATACACAAATGGTTGCAATACGAAGTACCATGACAATTCAAGTACTAACCAGTAACAGAATGGACAATGGTCATAAGACCCTCCACAAATGATTTCAAGGAGTACCACTGAATGGGAAAAAATTCCAGACGAATGATGCAATAACTAACCAAAGGCTTAGCTACATGCTTCTCCAAAATCTAATCACTTCACGATTCTTATAATATATAGCATCCTCCAAAGGCTATTACACCAAAAATAATCGTATATTAAAATAAAAATAAGAAAAAATCGATCAATTAAGAATGGTGTTGAAGATTTTTTAAGTAAACCAAAATCAAATGATGAAACCCAGCAATATAAATGACTAAACTAACAAAAAAAAAACTCTCCCATTGTGAGCACCATTTTCTTTTAGTCAAACATATGCTAGTTCCCATGCTAGTGCCTATACATCTCACGTGAAGCCACATGCACCCCATATGCCATTTCCAGCTCCCCAGCAGAAGACCCACGCATGAAGCACACCCAACAGCAGCTCGTGCCTCCCAAGGAAGCCCATAACTTGTCGGCCAGCACGCTCAGTTCCCCATCACACACGCCTGACAGCACTCTGAATGAGCAACTCGATTCCCCATCCACAACACCCAAGCATCTGCCCATACGCTGCACCAAAAAAGAGACCGAATTCCATTAGCAAAGGAGAGAGCACTATATTACTAGGGAATTTTCGTGGTAAAAAAGGGGGGAACCATGGGACAAGGAACAACAAGGAGCATTCAAGAAAAATTCACCAACAGTGGGGGAAATAGAGAGGGAGCAGCAAAGGAAACGAAAGAGGAAAAAATACAGCGTGAAAAATAGAGGGGACTCTTCCCCGATAGAGGTTCCCAATCGAAATAGAGAGAAAAAAACAGTAGAGGATTTTATCCTATTTTTCTTTTCCCTTGAAAATCATTTGTAACCGAGCATTTCCTATTTTTTTCGTTCGAACTAAAAATCAATACAAAGACTGATTTTTGGAGAAATCAAACAAAAAAAAAAATAGAAGCTTTTAGAGTCATCAAATTTTATTAAGGTATTCGAATGTTTTTCTTTCGTTTAATGATCTTTCTATGCTATTTCTAGAAAAACAAAAGTAAAATAAAATAACGATTTAGGAGGGAGTCTACCTTGCCCAGTCGGTTGAATTTCGTCGCCGGGGTGTCTTCGTTGTGAAAGGAGAGTGTCGGAGACCCTTTTTGCCGTTTAGGGTCGTGGTCTTAGTCTCAGTTTAGGGTGGTCTAGGGTCGAATCTGACGAGATGTGATTGCGTGTGACTAACACCAGCGTAGGAGGGTCACTACCGGCGTGTGGTGGCCGAGCTTTGTCTTGGTTTCGGCATGCAACACCGTTTGGAGTGAGGAAGAAAAGGGAGAAGAAGTTAGGGTGAGTCATTGTGCGAAATGATTCTGGAAAAGGGAGAGTGTTGATATATTACGAGTTTTGCGTAAATCACTCTAAGGTTCCTATAACTTTAGCGTGTTTTGTATTCTGGTCATTAGTTTTAGATTAAATCACTCTTTTGGTCCTTTCTGTCTAAGGTGATTCGTGTTTTAGTAACTTTTTAGGTCCCTTAAGTTTCATCTTTTGCATTTTGGTCCCCATTTCTGTTTATTTTCAAGGATTTGAGAATTGAATGGATGATTTTACATTATTTTAATTTAGTCTTTTGTGAATAACACCAGCGTAAGAGGGTCACCACCGGCGTGTGGTGGCCGAGCTTTGTCTTGGTTTCGGCGTGCAACACCGTTTGGATAGCATCTTTTGCATTTTGGTCCCCATTTCTGTTTATTTTCAAGGATTTGAGAATTGAATGGATGATTTTACATTATTTTAATTTAGTCTTTTGTGAATAACACCAGCGTAAGAGGGTCACCACCGGCGTGTGGTGGCCGAGCTTTATCTTGGTTTCGGCGTGCAACACCGTTTGGAGTGAGGAAGAAAAGGGAGAAGAAGTTAGGGTGAGTCATCGAACGAAATGATTCTGGAAAAGGGGGAGTGTTGATATATTAGGATTTTTGGGTAAATCACTCTAAGGTCCCTATAACTTTAGCGTGTTTTGCATTCTGGTAATTAGTTTTAGGTTAAATCACTCTTTTGGTCCTTTATGTTTAAGGTGATTCGTGTTTTAGTAACATTTTAGGGTTAATCGTGCATTAGGTCCCTTCAAGTTTAGCGTCTTTTGCATTTTGGTCCCCATTTCTGTTTATTTTCAAGGTTTTGCGAATTGAATGGTTGATTTTACATTATTTTAATTTAGTCCTTTGTTGAATGTTTTTTTCTTTCGAGATTTGGCTACCGATATTTATGTTTTTCCGTTTTAGTCATGTATATATGGTTTTATTATGATTCTGGTGCTTTTATTTTGTTGTTTCATGCCATGATATTTGTTTATTAATGTTTAGGATACTAAGGTTTCTTTGAATTTATTTTTGTCACCATGTAATGAATAGATTCATATGTATATTGTTTATTTGTACCATTAAAGTATGTTTTTATTTTTTTAGATATTTATTTTGCTTGTATTATTATATTATAATATTATATAAAAATTATTTTCATATTAAATTCTTAGGAAAAATTATTATATTCTTTTTATTTCAGTTGGAAAGAGAAATATTTGTCCTAAAGTATTTTAGGGAGTATTTTCTCTTCAATTGGAAATACGAGAATATTCTCTATTTTTCCTTAGAATTTTTGTTCTATAATATTGTATGGTTGAATTCAGAATAATGGAATCGTGATTTAAATATGTATTCGAATTCCTAGATTTCTACTAATTCGAGACAAAATATAATCGATAGGTACCAATTTTGGGCGTTGTGGGGGTACTTATCATTCCCCACACGTAATCGACCCCCGAACCCTTTTATTGCTTAAAAATGAATTTGTGGTTACACATGGATCAATAAATCTTCTAAATAATGTTTTCCTAAAAACTCTTTTAAAAGAAATATTTTAGGTATTTGACCTACCTGACTCAAAAGGTCGATGGTGACTCCGAAACATTTCTTTTACAAAATCGGGTTTTCACGAAATAAGTCGAGATTCGTCGTATCGCCGAAAATCGGTTAAGACAGCTTGGCGACTCCACTAGGGACCTAGAGGGTCAAGCCTTAAATCGATTATTTATTGTCTCTATAGTTAGAAATTGAGAATTCGGTTTTATTTAATTTATGATTCCTTTGATTCCTTTCAAACGTTATTTAATTTTATATTTTTGTATACTAGTGTGTGCAGTTGATTGATTTTTCAGATATTAAAGTCTTCAATTTACTTTAGTTCATTTTTTGTGTGGTTGTCTGTCAAAGGTTTGATAATTTCTCCTCACACACGACACTTGCATTGCATAGCATAAGCTTTATACCCGAGCTCTTCCTTTTAAGTAGGAGTGAAAGCGACGTCTTCGTGAGAATTTATTCTCTGTGTCGACCTAGCAAGTAGCTTTTGGGGTTCATATATCTTATGTCTTTATGAGGATTTATTCTTCATGTCAGGTATAGGGAAATGTGCCCCTCGAATTGAACTCGATCCGTTTAAGCCTATAATGGGTGAGGATTGAGGGTCTAACTCGCCTAAGGGGGCACCAACAAGGACAATTCGAGTACATTTTTCCTCATAGAGCCGAAACCATGCATATAGTGAACCGAAGAACGGTCACCCTAGGTATAGACATATCGAAACTCTGTCCATAGGTACCCAAATAAGTGTACACAAAAGAGAAATAAACTCTAACCTTTGTCTTTTAATTTTTTTAGATAGATTATTTTTGAATAAATGCATATGGACTAGAAATTATGCGATTAAGGTTTTAATTTCCTCTATGTGTTTTGTTTAGTGTATTTTAGGGTTATCAATTGAATTTAATCTTTTCATATTTCACTAACATACATTTCCTCTCTTTGATTATTATTTTTGCTAACATCTTTTCTTTGTCTTGTTGCTTTATTTATGCATAAACATGTTGTTAATAACCGAGGTATTTATCAAAATTAGAAGGCTTTTAAAACGATAATGTCACACGAAGGGGTAAATATTTTTTTATCTTCTTTGACATGTTGGGACATTGTAAGTTCTTTGAAAGTTGTTATAAGATAATTACCTTGAAATTAACACATGTTTCATACATGTCATGACATAGAAGGTATTGATTCCCGAGTTAATAGTTGCATTAGAAGGCTTTCAATACGGCAATGTCACTCGAAGAGGTAGAATAGAAATGCAAAAGCACATCAATGGGCCGAAGTGTGCTCCAGGAAACAACGGAAGAGGTATATCAAGTTGGAATGTATAAAGCTCAAATGATGCAGTAAAACAAGTTTTTCAAGGGTTCTACGATGATGTTGATACAACTAGCTGAAAAGAAATATTATGTTTGAAGTCATCAAGCAACAAGGATAGTCAACACGAGATAGTGAATGATGACAGTCACATATGGTCGTTCAACAAATGCATTTATGGAAAAGATGTTGAAGCGTTGGAATTTTAGTTTCCAACAAATAGAAGAATGATGTTTCCTTGCATATTCGATGAAGATATATGAAATCAAGCAATATGAAGTGATTTGTAGTTTCCATCTACCTCGGTGTATTGAGACATTGTGTGTTCATTGGAAGTTGTTTTATGACAATTAATTTGGGATCAATTTTTTTTACATTTACATTTTGCATATTTGCATTAGCATCTATACATCTTACATTGAATCTCAACGTGCATTAATCACGGATCCTGGAAGTAACCCGTGAAATCTTTTAAGGTAAATTGAAGTCACCCCTTCGTACTTAGAAAAGAATTGAGAACTATGTTAGCACCGTCTAAAGTTTGAGGCACATCATTGAGATCTATGGGACACCAAAGAGCAAGGTCCAGAATTTGTTTGACCCAAGGGTATTGACCTTTAATGTGTCATGAGACAGTTCTTTCGTTCACAGTGAAACCATATTGCACTGGCATTGTCTTGTTTGAACGTGTTTTTGTATACTCAATAAATAAATTGTTGATTAAACTAATGTCATTTTCTAAGGTTGTGAGCAATAAATCAAGTTTTAATCTTGTAGTTCTTTGAATATCAAATGGATTAAATGATCTTTTACTACTTCATTAATTATAGATTTTACAAGGGGCAAGATTAGACCTTTCATACCCCATCCAAAGCCGAAATAACCATTATTGGGTTCCTTACCCGAAAGAACACACATTTACTCCTAAAAGACCAAACTTTGATATCACTTCCCTTCGAAACAATAAAGACATGCCCTTATCCTCCCCAAGGCACCAAAATCTGTATTTTTACCTTCCCAGATAAAAATAACCTTTCCATAACATTACCTTTTTCAGAAGTACGACTTTAAAGTCAAGCATTTCCCTTCCTATACACTGAATCAACATTCATTTCCCAACTTCAATAAATCTTAGGGGCATAACGAGAACCATTCAAGAAAGACAAGAATGAGTGTTGTGGATCAAGTGTTTTCAAGAGAATTCGAATAATTGGGCATACTATGAGCAAATGGAAGAATAAAAATGAAAGAAATATTTCTATCATGCATTAATTACATTGTTTTCATGTAAATATGATTAATCTTGAATACTCATCCCCCTAGGATACCTCTTTTACAAAGACTTCCATGTATGAGATGATGAACAACTTTGTTTAATTTATCATTTCAAAAATATGCATATATATTTATCCCTTGTTGTCCCCTTTTGAGCCTATAATATTGTTTCTTCTGATTCAACCCTAACCAAGGATCACCCTCCATACTGGGGGGCAAAGGTGAAGGACATCTGCTCGCATAAGTGGAGATCATCAATCCAGATTTCGCTACAGAAGTGAGTCATAATAAAATAAAGTGAGAAGTAACAAGATACCACAAGATGGACCAAGTACAAAGCGCTCGAAGATCAAATTGTGTTGATAACAAAGAGGAAAGAAACAAATATATAGAAAAAAAGACATACAAAAGATAGAAAAGAAAGAAAAAACAAAAGAAGATAAAAATGAAAAATGAAAAATGAAAAATGAAAAATGAAAAATGAAAAATGAAAAATGAAAAATGAAAAATGAAAAATGAAAAATGAAAAATGAAAAATGAAAAATGAAAAAAAAGAAGAAAAAAGAAAGAAAACCGATCAAATACTTCAAGACGGGCAGTTCAAAGATCTAGAATCAATTCACCCGAAGATCATGAAACACTAAAGGAAAATAAAAATAGAATAAAAGACACACAAGCATATTCAAATCGAGCAAGACAAGATTGAGATAACATAACGGATTGATCATTTGGTTAGTTAACCCTTAAACACTTGTTTAGGCCTATTTATCCATTTCTTTCATAACCATGAGCTATAGCCTACGTTACGTCTCTGAAAAGTCCCTTCTAATCATACATGGATTCCTAAGTGGA